CTGCGCGGGCTCTGCGGAGGGCGGGCGGGCTCCGGGCTGCCCCCGGTTGTCACCAGAAGGGTGTCGGCTGTTTCCACGCGCTCGGCTCCGAGGGTTTGCAGAGACCCCTCTGTACGGGCCGGTGTCCGTTGTGAGCCAGAGAAGAGCAGTTCGTTACTGACCCTGAAGAATTTACCTGAAGAAAGGCGTCAGTAACGACTAGAGAGGTGGCGTAGGATAAATGTGACACCGGGGGGTTTGTCGCTGATCCCGTGCTTTTTTCTATAGCGTTACAGAATTGCTTGGCTCGTTTTTAGAGACGAGCTAAGGGTTGAGCGCTCCCCAGTTCTCCAGATACGGACGGAACCAAGTTTTTTTTCCAGCAACGCTGATAACTGGATGTCGAGCTCGCTTCCGCAGTGCTTCCGTCCCTGGTGCTGATTCCACTTACGCCCGGTTTTGAGATCTGAAGCAGAGCACGGTGCTTGGTATTGAACAAGTGCTGTGGAGTGGTTTGGGGCAGTTTGTGTGCCTGAAAGCAATCTTGCAATTAGCAACATGAGAAAGCACAGGTGAGCTGGCAGGCTTCAGCAGCATGTGTAGTGCGAAGTGCTTAAACGCAAAGTCCTTAAAGCATGTATAATACTAAGCATTTAAAGTAAACATGTAGCATTAACATGGTTTTCAAAAGGACCTGTGAATGCCTTGAAGAATCTTAATGAAGTATCACATCATGGGTCTGTGTTCTTATGGAATACAGTGCAGCCATTTGTTACATCAGATGTAAAAATCTTCAAGTTTCTGCTGTGAGACTAGGGGAAAAACCCCAAAGAACCAACAGTCTTTCTCTGACTTTATTTTCAGATGGTGTTATCAGAAAAAGTGAACCAGCTAATGGAGTGGGCTAGTAAAAGATCCGTTATTCGAATGAACGGAGACAAATTTCGACGCCTGGTCAAGGCACCACCCAGAAATTACTCGGTGATTGTGATGTTCACTGCTCTTCAGCCTCACAGACAGTGTGTTGTGTGCAAGTATGGGCTTAATTTAGTCCTAAATTAGAACTTGAAAGTCATGCTGGGTAGGAAATTAAGTTTAAGAATGGGATAAAACTTTCACGGACGTGGGGTGAATATACTAGGGCACATTATAGTAGGATTATCTTTGAAATTAAATATGTAGGAATTTATGTGTAATAAGTGTGTGAGAAAATAACATAGCCCTTAATTATTTATCTCCCTCCTAAGATAATCACTGCTTTGCAGAAAAAGTATTCACGCCAGTAGGCTTCTGGAGAAAGACAGAATGAAAACTCAACTTTCCTGGCACGAGCTGCTGAAGAAATGTTTGTGGAATTACTGCTGGCCGTGCAGTCTAAAAGTTGCTGTTAATATGTTGGTTAGCACTTAGCAACAGTTAGTTGAAATTAATTGGTTTCCCATCCTCTGACATGGAAAAGAGGGCACACCTAAACTCGTTTGCTGCTCTGTGGATTAGCAAATCGGGAGCTGCTGGGTTCTATTTCAAATTTCAATTGGAAAGTACCACTGCTTGTGTTCGTGGACTGGACAAAACTTGCCTTTCCATTTGAAAAAGCAGCGGAGCCAAATGCTTCACTTGATTTTTAAATGAATGTCTGACCTTAAACTTCATCATTAATGCTAGAAAATTAATGTAGAGGCGTGCGGTATGCGCCCATTAATGGGCTGGGTGACTGCAGCTCCCTCAGCTGTTCTGTAACTTGTGTTCTGGACAAACATGATACAGCATCTCACTTTGTGTGTTTTACAGGCAAGCTGATGAGGAATACCAGATTCTGGCAAACTCCTGGCGATACTCCAGTGCATTTACCAATAAGATTTTTTTTGCTATGGTAGATTTTGATGAAGGCTCAGATGTATTTCAGATGGTAATGTCTTTCTTTTTCTCTTCTAACGTGTTTTTTTTTTAACTCTGGATTTGGAGACAGAGGGCAAGAAGGTAAAGATGTATACGAAATTTAGTATTGCAATGATTAAAGAAATAATTGAAAAGTTGAAAGCTGCCAGTCTTGGAAGAAGTCAGGAGAAGAGCAGAGTGCAGCAGCATGTTGACAGTAATAGTAACAGAACTGACGAATCTGCAATTGGCACAAGGAGTCAGTTGGCCTCTCTGACTTTTTTCTGAGTTTGTCTCCTATAATAACTTAGAATGTAATTTGTAATGGAATTCTTCTATGGTCCATTTAGAGGCAGGATAGAAAGCACCAATATCGTTAGGAACAGCTATTACAATTTTTAGATGACTGGACAATGATAGATTAGGCTTTCAGTATGGGTTAACTTATTTCTTTTCAAGTACCCAGTCATTTTGCTCTACTATTAACATTATTGAACCAGATGTTTTAAAATATATGAGAACATTCTATGTGTGCTTACAATTGTAGATCACATTAATTGTTCATTATAGATTTGCAAATCTTAACTCTTTTTTTTTTTTGAGAGACTCATCTCTATTTAAAAGATACGCAATTTAGGCAATGATATTTTAGTAAATGGAAGCTTTTGGACTGGAGAACTGGAAAGGGACGTTTTTTTGTTATTCTTGTTAAATTTTCCCGGAGTGTTATGTCAAAAAATTGATTCATCAAGCTATGGCCTTTATAGGTTATTGTATATATTCCTGTTTTGCAGATTTCTCTACCAAAAGTAGTGTTTAGAGAAGAAACAAGGTCAAAAAACTGAAATGCTGTGGGAAAAACAGTGTTAGGAAAAGATAGAACTGCGTTTTGTAAACAACTACTTTTATCTGCCTATTATAATCTCCCCTTAACTGGTCTGCATCTTTTCAATCAGTAGCTATGGATCTGAGTACTACCACAGAAACGTCAGTCACTTTAGAAAGTATGCTCAATTGTGTTTAAAATACCCAAGCAAAACAAAACCCAGAAAAAACCGCCCAAAAAACCAATCAGCCTACTCTGAAGTAACAACTTTTTTTCTAAGACATCCACAACAGCTGGTGACAGAGCTTAAAAAAAATTGTTGCTCAATACTAAAAGGAGAAAACAGCATGGAACGCAAAAGGGAAACTGCAGGAGTATATTGATTACTCTTATGAAATGCAAGCTACTGTGTGCTGTCTTTTTTTTTTTTTTAAGTCACTGTCAATGAAATCTGTCTATGGAATAGTTACTTTTTCTGACTGATTTAGTGACGATGTTGCAAGATACAAATGGAATAGAATTGTGTTACAGAATAGAGTTGTGTTACTAAATGGACCTTTCAAGGTGCTGTATCTTCTCTGAATTTTCTAAATACAGCTAAACATGAATTCTGCTCCAACCTTCATTAACTTTCCTGCCAAAGGGAAGCCTAAACGGGGTGACACATACGAACTTCAGGTGCGCGGCTTTGCAGCTGAACAGCTTGCTCGTTGGGTGGCCGACAGAACTGATGTCAATGTAAGTGTGTACAGGCTCCCCCCATCACCGCCTCTGCGGCACTCCCTCACTGTGCAATTCCAGCTATGAAATACGTCAGTTGTGTTCTGTGGCTAACAGTCTGCTCTCAGATACCCTAAATCGTTCTTGTCTACAAAATCTAGTTTGGGCACATGACTACGTCTTTTAGTTTACTTACGTTCAGTGTTCTAATATTTTGTGTAATTCTGTATTTGATAAGATGGTAAAACTCATCTCCTTCCTCTCCCTCTTCTGTTCTCGTCCAAGAACAACAATCTTTAAATTATTAGGTAGGGTAAAGGTGCATAAAACTGAAGTTGC